TAGTAAACTAAGAGTTAGTTGGTTTCTTTGTAGTCTTGGCTGTGTCAGAAATCATTTATGTGACTTAGAATAAGTCATTTTACTTCTCTGGATCCCCTATTCCCCCTGCCCTCCACTACCAGTTCTAAAAATGAGTAAACTGAGAAATAAGAATATGATTTGATTCTTAGCATTCATATACGTTTGTTCTACTTCTTGGGATGACTAGCAAATATCTCTATTTCAGTTTAAAAGTTTTTAGATCAGAACAGAAGAGGTTGAGTATCTTATGTAAAATATATGCTGATTTCATCTACCACCACAATTTCCCACAAAAACTAGGCAGAAGTCACTTTAATTTCATTTTTAAAACTACATATGATTTCAATTTGGAGATTTGGTCTACTTCCCTTTTTGTTTTTTAAATTACTGGAGCTTATTAGAAAAAATATACATGTATTAAAAATGTCTAAAAATCCAAAGAATATGCAAAGGGCAAAAAATCAGAAATAGAAAACATGTTTCATCCACACAGAGATAAACTCATCATGTTACACTCATATTTTGTTTATACTTTGTCCCAAAATTATTGGATCAAACTATATATACTGCTGTGTGACTTGACCAAAATATTCCTTATCATACATTAATATACAGTGAAGTTTTAAAGGTCTTCTCAGGTTCAGGTGAAAATGAAATGATGAAGTCCAATGCTGGCAGAAAGTGATATGATATGAGTGAGTGTGTGCAGTGATGGGAAACCCAAGAAGGGAGCTAATGGACCCATCTTGGCAGCTGACAGTTGAATCTTGAAGGATATCAAAGTTTGCCAAGCATAGAAGAGCAGAAAGCATTTTCCCAGATAGAAGAAGCAGCCTATGAGGAACTACTGGAAACCTTGACAGGTCATGGCCTTTTGGAGACCAAGGGAGGAGTCTAGCTGAGTCTAGCCTGGTGGGCATGGTGAGTGGGTGGGGGTTCAACTGGAAGTGAAGTGTAGGAGGAGGTCCCTGTTCTGAACAGCTTTGTTAGCCAGGCTGTGGGTATGGAATTTCTCCCACTGATAGTGGGGAGTAAGGGACTTTATGTTAAATATTACTGAATGAAGACAACCAAAACTCAGCTTTACTCTTTTCTCAAGGATAGATTTTTGAAATCTGGTGCTTAAAAAAATCTTTCTATACAAGCCAAATACGGTCCTTATAAACAATTCTCAGAAAATTCTCATCACCTCTACAGATGCCTTTTAAGCACCTTTTGGAGTTCTTTACTAGTCTTCCTTTATATGTACTGCATTCAGGTGACTTGCAATGGCAAACTCATCCTTAAAGAGCAACCTGGGTAAAAGTTGTTTAGGCCAGTCTCCTCCATAGGAGGCAATGTGTTTGGCCCTGCTAGGGCCTGCGGGGGGCTTTGATGAGGAGGAAAACTATGGAACCTGGTAGTGGCGGGTTTGGGGTTTACGGTTGGGGTTCTTATCCCACGGAACAAGTTGTTTCTTAACCAGCTCATTTGCACCACCCAGTGGTAAAGTGCTAGAATACAGCTTTGAAGGCTTTTGAAGGTGGATCCAACTGAGTCTTTCCTCAAGTT